GGCGGGAGTGCCGCCGCGCTTCCCAAGCAGTGCACTATCCAGTGCGCCACCGGGCCGGCCCAAACTACAAGTAATTTTAAATGTATTTTCCTGCTGAGTCCCAAAGCAAATTTGTTCTCCTGTTGGCTGGTGCCCAGGTGTTGGTATTACTCTTTATGCCTTCACTTTGGTCTTTCAATTCATTTTGCCTACAGTCTGCTCAAGACCTAATTACCTAGTTCCTTAGAGGAGGGATTCCAGGGCTGGCCTTGGACATGGCTAGATGGTCATGAGAGCTTGTTTTGTGGCTGGCACTGGTGGGGAGATAGTTTCTGGGTAGGGGACCTGCTTTCATATCACTCCAGAGAAGTAGCTTTGCCCACTGATATAGCTGGTTCTACAGCCAGATAGAGGGGTGATCAACAGTGAAAAATGGGGATCACATCAGCTTCGTTACAGTAAACAGGAAAGGGGTGCACCTTCTTCCCATGCCTACAGGGGCTGCCAAGAAGCCACATCTCTCTGGGACGTGAGGCAGCTTCCCCTCCTGAGGGCCTTGAGCAGCTCTGCCTGGCACTATCGGCACATACCAGACCCTGCTTCCTCAGCAAGTCCATCTTCTTTGCTTTAGGAGGGTGTCACTCTTTCATCTATAGCTCTCTGGCCACTTCTGCACACTGGAGTCAGCATGCCATTCTCGTCCCCATTCCCTTGGCCTCCCTCTATCATCGCTCTCTGGGGTAGACTGCACAGCCCTCACCCATCTCCACTGTCATCTCTTGCTGCCACTCATTTTCTTTCGGACACGTCTTTCTTGACTGCAGTCCCGAGCATGCTTTAATAGGATTTGCCATAATCCAGGGGCTTCCTGGAGAACTATGCAGTCAACTCACCCTGGCCCTGGGATCCAGGGATCAGTCTCCAGTCCCCCTACCCAGTCTCATCTTCTTTCCCTCCCATTGTACACCTGTCTCCAACATCATCAGACCCTTCCTGTGCCACTCTTTCCTATTACCTCCTGCCTCCAGGACTTGCTTGTCCCTGCTGCCTGGGACATCCTGTGTCCAGACTCTGGCCACCTTTGAGGACTTGATCACTTTTTCTTCTTGAAAGCCCTTTCTAATTCTTCTAACCAGACAGGGCTTCTGCCTTGTTTTGGAATGCTTTACTCGCATCACTCTAATGACATATCTTATGTTGCCTGGCGTTGCAATTATTTGGGTACATAGCACATCTTTCTCTCAAATTATGATTCCCTCTACCACACTGAGTATGATATCTGTTAATACTTTGTGAGCCTAAAGATGTTTATTCAACTGACGCTGGTCTTTAGTGGCCAGCTCATCTCTCAGTGGCACCTCCACCCTAAGATGGCACTTCAGTCTCCAGGTAGCTCACTGTCCACCCTTGCAGGCTTCTCATCAAGTGGCCATTTAACCACCAAAGGGATTGGGTAGTCACAGTTCAATATTGGGATCCTCTTATGTGTATCCAGATTTTGTTCAGGCTGAAGCAGAGATCTGGCATGCTGGCTGCTGTTCCACAGCCCTGTCTAATCACTGTTCGTGTATTGTGATGGCCCACAGCACCACAGCTGAGGACCACTGCTTTCAAGCATGATATCTACCTTTTAAGAAATTTTAATCAGTGAATTTTATGAAACATGAAACTTGTAAGCCCCAGAGGAAAGAAACTGTAATGATAGAATTTCAGCCCCATGTTAGGTGTGGGTGAAAGGGATACTTTTATAAATAAGAAAATGTCCAGATTCCCCAAAATCCATACTACATGAGTTGTTATTCATTTTACCATCTCACAGTTAAGAAAGTAGCAACAGGTAAAAAATTTAAAGTCATAAAGTCACAAGCATTCTGGCCCATTTAAACTTGAAATGTGGAATGGATTGCAAACCAGGGCCCACTTTGACCTGGTCAGCCTAAGGCCACATGGTTGTATAATAAATCTTGTGTCTCTGGGACCGAAGGCATTTTTCCTTTGAGGAGAGTATAATCCACTTAGAGGAGCTAAACAAATCTCCCCCATTGTCTTTTCATTATTTTCTGGATTAATGTTTGAATGACGGGCAAACCCTCAGATGGGGAATTTGTTCTCATACATGCAGCAGCTTCAGCTGCTGAGACTGTGTTGCCTGATTCAACATCCACTCTAATCCACACTGAAATGGGCAATGGAAGGCAAACCCTCAGATGGGGAATTTGTTCTCATACATGCAGCAGCTTCAACTGCTGAGACTGTGTTGCCTGATTCAACATCCACTCTAATCCACACTGAAATGGGCAATGGAGTGTTGCCGGGGGTGGGGGATGGGAGTTGGAGCAGCTCTGGGACCCGGGGGTCTTGTGAGTGATCCATTCCTGGATGTCTGCTCTGTGTGGGGTCCCGTCATTCATTCTGTCACTTGCTCTGACTCGAGTTCGTTCTCCAAATCGATTTCACTTTCTGCACCATGGT